CCTGCTGAAATATTATTCAGGAGTGATGTTTTTTCCCCTTAATATTGAAGCAAGTTACATTTTTCTCTCGGGTTTGCCCAAAAGCTGATCTTATTTTTTCCCCCCTTTTACCAATCGGATACCACCTTCAAGCCGTAAGCGGTCTTCGGGCTGGTTTGCGAAACATCCCTCGTTCGAGGAGCCTCGTAGTTGTGTGTGATGCGATACACGCGTCGCATCAGTTAACACTTGACACCATTCCCTCACTTAAGAATAATCTACAAATCCCCCGGAGGGGAGTTCAGGATTATTCTGGGATGCTTTGCAGCCACGGTTAGTTGGCGGGAGGAATTTCCAGTCTAGGTGTACACGAGTTTTGGTGTAGGATGAAGCTCCGAACCCGACCGGTGTACGGCGGAGCTCGACGACAGCTTGCTGTCCGAATAACGCCATTCCTTTTCATCTAGGACAAGGCAGGACCTCACAAGGAAATCTATCCTTACGTTATCCAGGAACTTAGACCAACTTTGAGTGAACTGGGAATCTCCACTCCGGAGGAACTGGGCCTGGACAAAGCATAAACTGTATCGGTAAGGGATGCCGTCGCTTCCGAGAGTCCGAGAATATCCATTAGCCTGGACGGATCATTTCCGGAGCGGTGTGTGAAATATTTGATCCTGATCGCAGTGGCATCAAGTCTAGGAAAACCACTTGTCTTACTGCCTTTTTAGAGCCAAACTGAGTAATTTTGAAGCTGGAAAACAGCTAAAATGAAGGTGGATTAAAATGGCGTGGTGCAAGGGGGGGGTACTGAGCTGGGCTGGGGAAGCGGTAACTGCGTTTTGGGGGCTGAGCGTGATTAAACTGGGCTTTGAGAGTAAAAGCGAGCGATGGAAATAACTCATTTGAGACCCCAGGGGAGCTTGGTGGAGCTACTGGGCTGCTGCTTTAATGGCTTTTCTGTTCTTTTTCTGTTCCAGGTGCATTACTCGAGCATTTTGCTGATGCTACCTGATTGTACGCGGTCGCCCGGAGACACAAACGTTTAAAATATTACCTTTTATTTGCCAGAACTTCTTCCTTTATTGAGTCACAATGTAGGCGATGCGAAGTTGGACCTAATAAAGGAAAAAATAGTTTGACTGATGTGGTGGCTCGCGCGATTTATTATTTGGGGTTTGGTTTTGTTGTTTTTTTTTTTAATGGGGAAAAGGAAGAAACAAACTGGAAACGTGCTCTTCTTAAGCGAGTATGTGGAAGAGCTTAAAAATAATTATTTTGCTTGGCAAAGCCGGTGTGCGTGGCCTTGCCCGAGCGCCGTCGGGAAGGGAAAGGTAAGGATGCGTCTGGGGGGGGCACAGCGACCTCCTGGCACGGAGGGATTTGGGGAGGAGGAGGAGGAGGAGGAAGGCTGACACGAACCTCCCTGCCCGTGCAGACGCCGGATGAGGACGGGGCTTAACGCAGCCTGCTCGTGGCAGGGCTGGGAAGCGTTTCGGGGATGGGTGGTGCTCCGGACAGTCGGTTTTCCGCCTCTGTTCTGGAACAGGGGGGGCTTGTGGCAAAAAAAAAAAGGGAGGAAAAGTGGAATTAT